GGAGGTGGCGCAGTGCATTGAGGTAAGGGGAGCACCGCAGGGCCGGGCGGTGGGCACAGCCCTTCCCACCGCGGGGTCTCTGGGGAGCCCCAGGAGCTGGGAGGGGTGCTGGGATGGGGTGCCGGGGCTCCGTCTGCCAAACAGGGCGCGCCGCGCCGTCCCGTCCCTTCCCGTCCCACCGTGCCCTCAGGCGCTGCTGCAGGAGGAGCCCGCCGAGCGCCTGGACACGGAGCTGCGGCAGCAGGCCATGAGCGCCGTCGCCGCCATGAGGTACCGCCCAGCCCAGCGCCGGCCAGCGTGGTGGCACCGGTCCCGGCCGGGGGCCCTGAGCGGGGCAGGCAGCGGGGCGCAGGGTGCCGAGCGGAGCATCGCGCCTCCGCCCTCTCTCCCCTTACAGCAGCGCGTGGCCGCTTCCGGAGGAGCGGAAGAGCGGCCTCCTGCGTGCCTGCCTCAGCAGCGTCCTCCGCCTCCCTCGCCACGAGGACGCGAAGGACCTGGACGCTGCGCTCTACACGGAGGTGCGCACGGGCTGGGCCCTGGGGACGCGTCCTGGGCACCACCGCCGGGATGCCGCTCTGCTGCCAGCAGGACGCAGCAGGGACGGCCGCCCTGACCGCCGTCCTCCTTGCAGACCATGGAAGCCCTGCACCGCCTGCTGCAGGGACTGGTGGGCAGCGCAGGCACCTCTGTCCTCATGGAGCTGCAGAACATCTTGGAGGTCTGGCTGCGGCAAGGCTGGGATTCGCGGCGACGGTTCAAGCCGTAAAGGGGGATCCACGCGAGATCTCCCCAGGGCCAGCTGCGGGCAAGGGGTGCCGGCCCAAGACCGGCCCTTGTGGGGTCAGAGGGGTGGGTGGGGATCGGCGGGAAGGCGGCGGGGCCGCAGCAGGACAGGGATGAAACACCCACCCCCACTGCAGCTGGGGAGCGAGAAGAAGGACGAGCGCCCCGTGCTGTGGGCACACCGGCAGCTTTTCTCTCCACAGCTCCTGCTGCCCTTCACCACGTGCCAGCTGGCAGCCGTGGAGGAGAGGGCCGTGGCGTGCATTGGCAGGCTGCTCGCCTTCAGCAACACCTGCTCCTTGCCCAAGGTAGGGAGCACACAGCTCCAGCACCCCATCCTGTCTAGCCAGCTGGAGCCCACCTGTCTCCAGGCTTGCACAGAGCTGGGCTGGGCCCTGCTGCTCTGCTCAGCTGTGCATCTCTGCTGTGTCTCTCCCCAGGTGTGCTCCTGCTTCATGGGAGCTGTGGTGCTCCGGCATCACTGCACAGAGAACCAACGCTTCCCTGTGCTGGGGAAGCTGGCCGGGCAGCTGATCCTGTGCTGCACCTCCACTGATGAGGGGACCAGAGATGAGGCAATGAAGGCTGTCCATCAGCTTTTCATTTTCATCGCCTCCCAAAGTGAGAGGAGTTGTATTGGGCCAGGTGCCCAGGTTGGCCCTGGCCCAGCCCTCAGGTGCCCAGGCCCCTCACTGACATTGTGTCCGCTTCTCTCCAGGAGTGTGGCTGTGGAAGAAGGATCCCAAGAAGCCACAGCTCCGGGAACGCTGGCAAACACTGTTCTACGAACACGTTTCCCAAGAGAACAATGCCAGCAAAATCTTCAGGGTAAGAAGAGGAAACCCTGAGCCCGCAGGAGAACCCAGGCCTGCAGTGACAGGAAGAGTGCAGGCACTGTCCCCAAGCAGCCCTGGTGCCCGTGGGGCCCTCACACTCTGTACCCCAGGCATCACCCAGCCCAGCCCCTGCTCCCAGCTCTCCTGAGGCGCCCGCACAGCCAAGCAGCCCTGCAGGGGATGAGTCGTCCCTCCTCCCCTTTCTCCCACAGATGTTCCTGAAATACCTTCAGTACCCTGAAAGGGTGAGCATCTTCCTCACAGCCATTGAGAGCATGACAGCGCCGAGCCTCCACAGCACCGAGCTGGCTGCCCACATGGTGGACGTGCTCGCAGCAGAGGCTCGCTTCCCTCCAGGGCAGGTGGGAACCTGCGGCTGCCACAGCTCCCGCCCTCGGGGCTCTGCCCCATTCCTGGCACCGCGTTTGGCCAGCAGGCAGCACAGGGGACGGCAGCAGAGCCCTGCTCCGGTGCCTTTCCATTCTCACGTGTCCCCCTCCAGGTGCGAAAGATTGTGAAGACGATCTACGGCAGCCTGCCTTCCATTGAAGCTGAGCCGGCTCTTGAAAGCCTGGGCAGGGCCCTGCTCGTGCTGGCCGGCAAACACCCGAGGGAGATGGTTAGCAGCCTGCTGGGCTGCTCCCCCACCTGCACCAGGTCCGGGGCCCACGGCCCTCAGGGCTCCTCTCCCCTCCTCGCCCCACGGCCGTCAGCCAGGCGGGGGCAGCCACGCTGACAGCCCTGGGGACCCGCAGTGTCACCGTCACCATGTGGAGGGAAATGCTCTCGGAGCCCTCAGCTGTGGAGAAGGTGCTGCAGGAGCTGCTCCAAGTGCTCACAAACCATTCTCTGCGGCACATGTCTACATTCACTGGGGACAGGCCACGTGTCCTCGCCCTGGCTGTGAGTTCCTCACTCACCCAGCTCAGCTGAGCCCCTTCTCCCCTTCCCTGTCCACTCCCAAGCCTGGTTTCTGCCCTGGGGCACTGGAACACACTCCTAGACCTGCCTGGTGCTCTGGGGGTGTCCCTCTCCATTTGTCCCTCCATTCCCACACCTCTTGAGGTGGGCTGGAAACCTGGGGGATGGGACAAAGACAGCGTCCGGGTGCTTTCAGCAGGCAGCGAGGACCATCCCTGAGATACTCCAGCTGCCTCTTGTCATGAAGGAGGCCGAGGCCATTTTCCCCCAGCTCTTCCTGGCCCTCCTCCTGCAAGTGTCCTTCACCACGGAGCTGACACTGCAGGAGGTGGAGATCTTCTGGGAGGAGCACCGGCAGCACCAGCTCACTCCCATCAGGTGCCACATCCCCGTCCCCCCGCTGCACCCAGGACCTGGTGCTGGGGCTCCCGATGCGACTCGCACCCTTCTCCACCTGCAGGTCCGCGGTGCAGGCCTTGAAGGTGCTGCTCTGCAGCGTGGGCCTCCAGAGGCAGATGGAGGCCATCCAGGAGCAGGGGGGCTGGGACGCGCTTCTCAGCACCGTCACCCACCTCCAGGGCGTGCAGGTGGTGGCCAGGTGAGAGCCCTTCCTTGTGGTGTCATGGGGAGTCCCCAGCTCTCAGACAAAGTGCTGCCACAGCACACAGCCTGTGGCCCCTGGGGCACTGTGGCAGCAGAGCACGGCCAGGAGAGCTGTGCCCGCCCGGCTCAGGGCTGATGGTGCCTTCTCATCCCTGCCAGGGTGATGAGGGAACTGCCTGGTGCTCTGCGTGACCCCATCTTCCATCAGCTGGTTGAGCTGCTTAGCACCAAGCTGTGCTCCTGGGAGATGGTGGCCATGGTCTTCCTCGTTGAGGTGAGCAACAGCTGCAGAAGCAATGAACGTGGAGCTGCGGGACCTCCACAGCAACCCTGCTGCCTCCCTCGGGGCCAGGCCTGGCCGTGCCCTGCTGTCCTTGCCCCGAGCTGGTGGTAGGACTCAGCACTAAGAGCCGCGTGTGTTGCAGATGCTGGAGGGCGTGGACCCCAGTGAAGAGCTGCACCGCGTCGTGAGCCTCTTCAACACCTGTCTGCAGAGCCAGAGCGTGGGCACGCAGCAGCTGGTGCTCAGGAGCATCCTGGAGCTCAGCAAGAGGCCGGACGCGGTGAGCAGGAGCAGCTCTCTGCCCATCAGCTGCCTGCTGCCCCGGGGCTGTGTGGGACCGCCCTGCCTGCCTGCACCGTGCCGTGATGACGAGCCAGTAGGGAGGCTGCAGCTGGAGCCGTTCTGCCCCAGCAATGGTCTCTGTTGGGCTGTTTTTCCCGCAGGCGAGGAAAATGCTCGGCCTGCTGCCGTGCATCATGGAGCAGCTGCAGGATGCAGACAGCGGCGCCCGCGCCGTGGCCCTGCCAGTGCTCAGCACCCTGCTGCGGCTCCTGGAGAGGGGGAAGCTCAGCCTCGTGGCTCTGGAGCTGGCCGGCAATCTCCCAGTGCTTTTTGAGGACGTAAGGGGAGCAGGGAGCCCAGCTTGCTAGGGATGTGGCCGTGACCCCAGTGTCCCCACGCTGGCGGAGCTGGCCCTGCTCACAGTAGACTTGGAGCTGACATTTACATCCTTCCTTCCTCCTCGCAGGAGTCCGGCACGGTGCGCCAGCTCTCCATGCACCTCTTCCTCGACACGCTGAGCTTTGTGGAGGGCAGAGAGAAGAGGAAGATGCGGAAGGAGGTGTACAGGAGCCTGGTCCCGCTGTATCTGCACCTGCACGACGAGGAAGAGAGCGTGGCCAAGGTGGGAAGTGTGTTCATCTGGGGGAGGGCGGCGCTGCCCCTGCGGTGCCCCCCAAACACAGGGGTGCTGCAGCCCACGGCAGCGTCAGCCCTGCAGCTGCATCCCCCCTGCGGAGGGGCTGCGAGGATCGCGGGCTCTGCCTCTGCTCGGACTGCAGTGGCATCTCAGCCGTTTGGCAGGCCTCCCAGAAAGCCTTCCTTGGTGCCACACGGTTCCTGCGCTGGAGGCGGCTGCAGCGGCTGGCAGAGGTGGCGCAGTTCTGGCAGATCGGCGAGTGCCTGGTACGCGCGTTCCCACAGCCCAGGCCGGGCTCAGTTCTGCTCCGCGCTGACTCCGTGCCCTTTTCTCTCCAGCTGGTGGAGAGGAGGAAGAGCGCAGCGCAGGACTACCTGGGCCAGAGCCTGCTCTACCTACAGAGCCCGCAGGAGCCCCTGCGGCGGGAGGCCGTGAGGTTCATCGGTGAGCCACGAGACTGAGCTTCCCCTGTGCCCGGCCCTCCATGCTGCACACAGGGAGCAGCCGGGGTCGCTGAATATATGACCGCAGAGCTCGTTGGGAGGCACGAGAGCACGACGGCGCGGACCAGGCGGTGGTGGTTCGGGCGGCGCTGACCCCGCGGGACGGAACCCGGCGCCCTCCGGCGGCTCGGCGGCGCACCGCGCACCGCTGCGCTCCGGCGGGGCTGGGGGACCCTGCGGCTCGTGCCCAGAGAGGAGGAGGGTTGTGCGCCTGGAACGTCGGGGTGAGCGACTTTTTACAAGGTCTGATAGGACAAAGGGTAACGATTTTAAACTGAAAGGGGAGATTTAGGTGAGATGCTAGGGCTAAATTCTTCACTCAGAGGGCTGTGAGGTGCTGGCAGAGCTGTGGGTGCCAACCTTGGAAATGCCCCAGGACATGGAGGGGCCCTGGGCAGCCCTAGCTGGGGGACAATCAGACCATGGCAGGAGTGGGGCTGGGGGCTGGGAGGTCCCTTAGGACACAACCATGCTGTGATTGATTAGCCAGGAGCTGGGCAGGGTGCATCGCTCTGGGCTTTATGCATGGCTCAGTTGCACTTTTTGAGGCAGGAGAGGCTCCCCGGGGTTCTCTGCATCACCACCTCCTCAGGCCACAGATACTTGCTATGGTGACAGGACTGGTGCCACGCAGAGCCACACGCTGTCACCAGTGGTGCTTGGCCATATTCCCATGTTTTCACAAACCTTTGATGCAGGAAGGAAGGTGGGAGGCAAATCCCATCCCAGGAGGTTGTAAGTACCCGGGGGCCACCTGTGTGCCTTTTGTGCCTGGGGTTTTGCATCCTGCACAGGACCCTGCAGTGTGCTCACAGCTACTGCTCATTGTCAGTTCTTGCAGGGCCTCTACTGGCTGCATCCAGCTCACCAAGGAGCAGCGCACGGCATCAGGCACAGTGGCATCATGAGCCTAGGAAAGCACACAGAAGTGCAGCCAGGCCCCCACCTCTGTCCTGGGCACACATGGGGTCCTTCTGAGGCTCAGCCAGCCCTGGGGAAAGGCAGAATGCATTTAAAAAAAAGAAAAGGAAAAAAGAAAAAAACCACAACCAACAAAAGAACACTTTATTTACATAAATTACAAAAAAAAAAAAAAAAAAAAAAAAAAGAGGAATCTTGGGCACAGAAAAAATCTACTCTTAAAAAGGGCTCAGCCCCCTGGGGCCCCATCACTCAACAGTCCTCTGAGGCCCTCTCCAGGTGCTGCTGGGGTCTGCAGTGCCCCAAGGCATGGAGCAGGTGTCTGGGGAGGCCCCTGTCCCTCTGCCACCATGGGATGGGAGCATGCAGAGCTCCTCAGGGACAGGGCCGTGGCTGGGAGCCTGCAAACCCAGGAGTAAAAATGAAGAGGAAAACAGAAAGTGCCACCGGTACAGGTGTGGGGGTCCGGGTGTGCTGGGGAGGCTGGTGTGGTGCCTGGCTCATCTGAGGGGGTTGTGACATTGAAGAGAAAGTGGGGTGAGTGAGGGCAGCGTGCTCTGCGTGGAGGAGGGGTATGGTGGGCCGTGGCTCAGGGCTAGCAAAGCGTGATGGACAGTGCAGCTCAGTGCAAGGGAGCTGGGAATGGGGCTATGCACCACTGATGGGCACGAGGGATGAGTGCTGTGATGCTGAGGCTGGGCTGAGGGCCACCTTCCTGCTCCTCCAGCCCCTACGCTGGGGCTGCTGCTCCCTGTGAAGGGATGGGCTGGGGCATGGCCTCCCCCCAGCCTTCACAAGGACGACATCGTGGAGTCTACTGCCTCGCGGCCATTGCACACTGTGGGCACGTACTGTGAGGCCGAGCCTGGTGGGGAAAGGCACCAATTATGAGAGGGGGGATCCAGCAGCAGCCCCCACCTGGGGTATCCCAGTGCAGTGACGGACCCCCAGGAGCAGCTCTTGGGTGGAGGACTTGGGATACAGCAGCTGATCCCTTGGGTGCTGCAGCACCCCTACCTCCTGCTCCGCAGGTCCCCCTCCCAGCTGTCCCCCTGTCCCTCCCCAGCCCAGCTGCACTCACCGTGGGACTGGCTGGAGCCAGCGGCCGCCATGCTGAAGCGTGCCGTGCCCACGCGGTGGCTGGCCACATTCTTCTGTGGCTGGAAGAGGATGATGTGGAGCTTGGGAGTGAAGAGGCAGCCGAGGACCACCGTGCCGCTGAGGCTCACTGAGATGCACATGGTGGTGGTCTGCACCTGGAGGCAGAGGGGTGAGCGTCACGGGTGTGGTAGCATCACACACCCAGGCAAGAGCGTGGATGGGGCCCTCATCAGCCCTTCCCCAGACCCTCCCAGACCTGTGCTGCCCCGGTCATGCGGGCTGCTCTGGTTGGGCCCCATGGGTATCCCCAGAACTCAGGCTCTTACTCGGTAGTCGCTGGAGGTCACGTAAAAGATGGGCAGGAAGGCCAGCCAGATGATGCAGGTCGTGTACATGGTAAAGCCAATGAACTTGGCCTCATTGAAGTTTTCAGGGCATTTCCGTGTCTTGAAGGCGTAGACCGTGCACAGGACAATCAAGAGGACGTTGTAGGTGAGCGAAATGAGCATGTTGGAGTCACGGTTGTTGCACTTGAGGGTGACAATGTACCTCTTGTCAGGCTCGGTCTCCTTGCCTGTACCAGGGGTCTCCACCAGGAGCCAGATGATGACGATGATCAGCTGGCAGGAGATGAGGGCCATGCAGATGACCACCTGTGATGTGGGGCTGATGAAGCGAGGGCGCTGGACCCCCTCCTTCACCCCGCTGAAGATCCTGGCGATGCGATTTGTCTTGGTCAAGAGGGCCGAATAGCAGACAGCAAAAGATGTGCCCAGCCCCAGGCGCCGGAGCGTGCACACCTCGGTGGAAGGCTTTGCAATGAAGATGAAGGTCATGCTGTAGCACATGAGGACCCCGGTCAAGAGAATGTAACAGAGCTCCCGTCCAGAGGCCTTCACAATGGGAGTGTCATTGTTCTTCATGAAGACACCAAAAACAAAGAGAGTGGAGATAAATCCCAAGCAAGAGATGGTGACGGGACCGATGGCCCAGACATCTTTCCAACGGATGTACTCCTGGGGCAACTCGTAGCAGCCATTCAGGGTCTCATTGGGCCAGTAACCCAAGCCACAGTCCATGCAGGTGAACTCATCCAGCAGGTACTCGTAGGGCTGGCAGGGGATGCAGATCCAGCAGCAGATGTCTCCCGGCTGCATGCTTTTGATCTCGTTCTTCTTGCATGGATCACTGCACTGGGACACTGGGATGGATACCTCTGCCCAGGGGATGAGGCTGGTGTTGAGGATGAGCCCCTCGGCCCAGTAGCCCACCTTCTGGTACCGGTACCGCCCATCCATGTGGTGATAGTTGAAGATATTGTAGCGCCCAATCCCGTCACCGTAGCGGTCAAATCGAACAACGCTCTCAGTGTCTGCTGGCCTGAATGGAGCTGGAGAGATGAGAAATGGAGATGGTCACTGCCTGGACCGCTGGCCCATGGTGTGGGATCACACTCGCTCCCACAGGGATGCACCGAGGAGACACAGCCCACCATGGCCAAGAGGCTATTTCCAACCTGTCCCCTTGCCCCTCATGCCTAGAATGCAGCATTATTATTTGGGATTGTGAGAGTAGTGGTGCATAATGCTCTCACCATGGTTGGCAGCCTCTAGCCATGCTGCAGGGCAAAGCAGGGGGGTCTGCATAGCCGTGCAGTATCACTGCCCCCCAAACCTCCATGGCTCTGAGTGGTACATAGGGCTCAGCCCAGAGGGGATGATGGTTCTGACTGACCCCAGAGCTGTGGGCTCCTGATTGAGGCTCTCCCTCCAGCTTAGTCCCTGAGAGGTGACTAAATCAATCACAGAGCAAGTGGCTGAAGTCTCCAAGGAGAGACTGAAACCTCAAGGAGGAGGTGGAACATTAGAGTGAGAGTGTGACCTCCTTGATCCTCCCTGCCCCTCCACCCATTCGGCTGTGCAGCCAAGCCCCGTCTCCACCTCTGGACTCACCATCAAAATTAACATTGAGCATGAAGTCCTTGTAGAACCTCTTGCCATTGACAGGCTTCATGGAGTCGCAGAGCTTGGTGGTGTTGGGGCACAGCGCTCGGTGCATGTTGTGAAGCGAGTGAGCCATGGCGTAGACCGCATTGACCACAAAGGTGATCTTGGACTCTGGCTCAAACTTTCCCGTCTTTAGGGAGTGCCGGCTGCAGTCCTGCATGTGAAGGCTGCACTTGAACTTTTGCTCCCAAAACTCCCGAAACCAGGGATTTCGGCTGTTATTGTAGGGATGGAGGTTGAGGAAGTATGCGGCGAACTCCTGGATGGGGTATGCTGCCAGCTCGATGGTGATGGCTCCCTCCGCCACCGCCTCGCTCCCCGCCACCACGCTCTCCAGGGCTCCCCACCCATCGCTGGCCACCCATACGAAGGAGACATTGGCTCTGTGGGCGGCTGCCAGCAGCTCCCGGGCGTCCTCACTGCGTGTGAAGAGCACGACCACCTTGGCATTGGGCTTCTGCAGCAGCGCCCGCACCACGCCGTCGTAGGTCTTCTTGTTCATGGAGCGTCCCACCTTCTCCGAGGTGGCGATGCAGATGTTGCGCATGCGGGCTTCTTGCTCAAAAGCTTCAATGCCCGTCTCGCCGTAGTCGCCCTCTGAGGCCACCGTGGAGACGTAGGTCCAGTTGAAAAAGCGGAGGATCTCCGACATGGCTTTGGCTTGGTAGAAGTCAGGCGGGACGGTGCGGGCGAAGTAGTCATAGCGAGACTTGTCGCTGAGTTTGGCACTGGTGGAGGCGTAGCTGATCTGCGGGATCTGGAAGAGCCGCAGCAGGTTGGCGACCTGCATGGGGGGGAGAGGTGAGCACAGCCAGACATGACGCCATGAGAGGCATCCCCTGAGAGCATCCACTCCTAGACACGGTGGGTGGCTGACTAACGGGCAACCCCCATCTGGAGGCTGGGGGAACCCAGTGCCCTGCAATCTGATGGACACAGGTCGTCCAAGCCCTCAGTCCTGTGTTGGAACTGTGGTTGTCCCAGAGCCAGGGTGTAATGATGTTCCCTGGGCATCCTTCTGAGGGCAGGATGGAAGAGGTGATGGGGAGGTCCCTGTATGTCCATGACCACCAAGGGCTCTAGCACTGGAAAACCTGGCCACATCCAGCCCTTGATGCCTGGCACAGGGCCTTGGGATCATGTATTCACAGAGGTTTCTCACTCTGCAATCCCAGTGTGTTCCTACTCCTTGCAGCCTCCACTCCTTTCTTTTTTTTTTCATTATTATTTTTATTAATATTTTATACTCCCCCCTCTGAGATTAAGGTTGGGAGTAAATAGATTCATGGCAAACACCGATACTCCACCGCAGGCGAACGGAGCGATGCTCATCCGCGAGGACAAAACTGGTGCCCGCAGGGCTGGGGGGACACAGTGAGCACTGTCCCACTGAGCCCTGTGGGCCAGGCAATGCAATTGACTGCTGTGGCTGCTCTTTCCCCTCGTTATCTTCAAAAAGGAGAGAGCCCTGCTAATGAGGCTGTTAGAAAACACGGCTCTCGCAGGCCGCACGCAGCTCTGCTTCCTATGCAGGAGATGCAGCTTAATTAACGTGGACAAATGTTTTTAGCTGCAAATCACCCTAATGGCACAGAAGTCCCAGAGGGCAGTGATGCTGTGGGGACACTGGGGGATGTGGGGCTGTCACCGTCTGGTGACTGTCGCACTGGGCGGCCCGGGACCATGTGGGGTTTTCAAGGCCATTCTGACATCAGGAGGTGTCGCTGCCCCCCGTGGACATTCTGTACCCAACCACGCACCTGGGACCCATGGAAACGCATGTGAGCTCCCTGGGAATAGCCAATCCCTAAATCCTATCCCAACCCACTGAGGCCACCCGTGCTCTGTCCCCACAGATGGAGCCCGACACGGCCGCGGCCATGGCCATCCAGGCGTGGTGGAGAGGACAGCTGGTGCGGAGGGCACTGCTGGTGGCGGCCAGCAGCGCACGGCGCATCCAGGGCTGGTGGCGACGTGTGGGCAGCCAGCGGAGGGAGCAGCAGCGCCTGTGGGTGCTGGCAGAGTACATCAAGCTGGAGCGAGCCATTGTCCTGCTGCAGGCTCAGGTCCGGGCGTGGGTGATGCGGACGGAGTACAAACGCTGCCAGGAGGCCGCCCGCACCATCCAGACCTGCTGGCGGGAGTACGTGCAGCGCCGGGCTGGAAACTGCACCAAGGATGTGGATCTGCACATTGACATTGTCCTGGGTATTCCGGGTGACTGTGGAACCCAGAGTGAATAAAGCACCATCCCCACGGAGGGATGGCCACCTTGCGTGGGTGCTGACCCCTCTGTTTGTGGCCAGTGGGGCTACAGCAGCAAACAAATGGCTCCATCCAAGGGGCTAATGCCCCCCTGCTGATCCTGGGGATGGGACAGTATCCCACGGCATAGGGCTGGCATGCACCCACCTAGCCCCAAGCAGCCTGGACTGGTTACTTTCCTTAGCAGATGCTGAGCTCCCTGACACACAGCCCAGCAAAGAAGTAGGGCCGAGGGAGAGGATGGGCTCCGTGCTCCCCACCTCCAGGAGGTTCCCCCCCGGTGAGGGCTGAGGTTTGGCAGCCCTACAGCCGGTAAATGCCCTCTGCCACTTCTGCCCACAGCCCAGGCTCTTATCTTGCAAGGGGTACCTGGATGGAAACATCGCTGTAGGAACCCCCGATGACACCAGTGATGGCTGTGGGCACGTCATCATGGACAGCATAGGAGCCATCGGGGCAGATGTGCTCGGAGCCGTCCACTCTGGTCAGGGATGCGCGGACGAAGTCGAGCGACTGCTCGAGAGCATAGGTGTCCTTGGAGCAGGTGTCCAGGATGTGGGCACCCAGTCTCACCCCCGGCAGGATGCTTGGGTCCTTGTTTATCTCATCCAGTGCAAAGAGCATGGCCTCGAGGCGCTGGATGCCCCGGTGCTCATTGATTTTGCCACAGTCTTCGCTCCCCACTCCTTTCTCATGGATGGGGAAGAGCCCCCCGATGACCAGGTCCCCTTCAGTGCTGATCTCCTTCTTGCTGTGGCTGGAGCCGTGCCCAGCAGCCAGGCAGGAGGCCAGGTGCATCAGCCAGAGCCAGGCGGCAATGGGGACCGCCATGGGGTGTGCTGGTGCTGGCTGGGGATCCACACGCCCCATGTCACCCAGCACTGCCCGTTAAGGTGAGGGCAGCCAGGGCCCCGGCATCGAGGACGGAGCAGCGTGGTGGTGGCAGGGGGTCTGCTGCCCTATTGGAGCCTTCAGCACCTGGAAAAGCAAAGGGAAGAGGCACTGGGTCGGCTGGTCATGGGATGAGCTGGGGCTGTCCATCTGGGAGCTGTGAGGAGATGCTCAAGGTGGCTGAGCCAGGGCAGCATGCAGGTGTTTTGTGCCCCACCAGCCCGTGTCCCCCCCAGGAAGGATACCCTCAGTGAGAGCTGAGCACATGTGACAGCTCCAGCAGCAACCCAGGATCTGCAGGATGTAGCAAGTGACACAGATGTGGACAGACATGCAGGGCCACCCTGGCTGCCCAGCTCCCTGGGATGAGCTGGCACGTGTGGAGAGGCAGGCAGTCAGTGCTGCAGCAGTTCCAGGCAATGCAGCTTAGTGGCGGATAGCTTTTTGGGTTGGTTAAGCATTGGGAAAAGAGCCAGGGATGTCACCCAGGGGCTGGGACATCACCCAGAGCAGGGACTGAGGCAGACTCGATACCAGATCAGAGCCCCCTGACCCCAGTGCCATCTGCTCGGCCAGAGCCAGCTGCTCCATCCCAACGCAAGGGGCACAGCCATGCTCCCACCCTGTCCAGCCCCTGAGCCCCTTCCCCACTGGGTGCCAGCTCCATCCTGCAGTGCTCTAGAGGCTGTTCTCTCACCACCGCCCCTTCCTTCCTCGTACACTAAATTCAGAGATTTCAGTAGAAGTAAGAGCCAGGTTTGCTGGCTTCCTCTGCACAAACCACGGAGGAGCTGGGGAATCAAAGGCTTTTGCAACAGACAGGCCTTTTTTTGGCAGTAAATGAGGTCCCCTCAGAAATGAGTTGTCTTTTCCCACACCATGAGAGGGATTTGTTTCCCATTTAAAGTCAGCTGCTGGAATCCCACAGGGCCAGGGCTTCAGGGGCTGTGAAAGGAGGGGACCCCCTCAGCCTGACAGCCCCAGCCCCAGGTGGCCGCAGCTCACGGGGGGCTCCAGGTGGGACCCATCAGAGGAAGGGCATCTTCAGCTCTCCCAAAGGGCGCTCCCGAAATCATCAGCTCCATTAGGGAGGCAAAGATGGCTGCAGCCATCCCTGGAGCCGCTCACTGGGCTGACGCAGTGCTCTGGGGAAACTGGCCCTGGGAATAACTGGAGAAGATCTGGGGTGCGAAGCACCCGACTGGGCAGAGCCACAGCTGTCCCAGTGGCCACGGTGCATTGGGAAGGCTCTGCCAGCTCCCATCTGCTTGCAGCCTCCCTCTACCTGAAAGCATCAGCAATCAGGGATGTTTACATCACACAGTTGGTCCCGTGCTCCCCAGAGCACCCTGACACCTGCAGAAACGCAGGGAGGACCCTGATTGCTGCCCTGCTTTCAGGAGGGGATGCACATCCAGCTGTGATCACGAAGCTTTGCAGCCAGGACCCTGCCCTGGGCTCAGCACCGTGCATGCAGGTGCGCACCCGTGCAAGGTGCATGGGCAAGCACTGCGCGGGGGCTTGCACACAAGGCCATGCATTCTGCATGCACACCCATGCAGGGGTACCGTGTGTGCTCATGCCTGCAGCATGCGGGTAACGGGCCATGCCCTGCACAGGTCCACACGTGTGTACAAAGCGGCACGTTGCAGCGCACGCATGCCGTGTGGCCACACACACGTGTGCACAACGCCGGGAGCAGGGTGACACCTGGAAGCGCCTCCAAAACCTCCTCTCTTTAGGTCGATCCGTACATCGCAGCCACTCTTCCAGCCGGCGGGAGCAGAAGGGGAGGACGCAAAGAAGAGCGGCCGGCAGAACGTCAGGGTGCCCCTGCCCCGCCGCATCACCCGTGCGCTCGGGGAGGATGCGGGGTTAGCCGTGCACCCAGCCGGCCCGAAGCACCCCAGGGACCGGCAGTCCCCGGGGCAGCGAGCGAAGGGCAGGCGGGGGCTGTCCCCGCATCTGCCGCGCTGTCACCTCCGCAACCCGGCGCCGCGCACCCGGAGCCGCAGTCGGACGGGCCGGTGGCCTCGGCGTCTTCTCCGGGGCTCGCGGCGAAGCTCCCGGTGAACCCGCGGCCCCCGGCACGGTGCCGGCCCCCCGCCTCCGCTGTTCTCCCTCCGGCCCGCGACTCCCGGCACTGACAGCGGTGCCGCGGACCCGACGGCTCCCGGAGCGGCCGAGCCCCGTTCTCCGGGCACAGCCGCTCGGGCGGCCCGAGACCACGGCAACGAGTACGGCGGAGACGCGGGATCCGCAGCCCTTACCTGGGCCCGGCGGGGCTGCGCCGGGAGCCGGTGCCGATGCCGCTGCTTCTTCGGAGATGCTGCTGCTGCCGCCCGCCTCCCGCCGCCGCCTCTGACACTCCGCCAGCTCCAGCCCGGCGGAGCCGCTCCGCCCCCGGCCCCCGCCCCGGCCCGGCCCCGGGCAGCGGCACCCCGCGGGGCAGCGGTCGGGACACGGGCAGGGCGGGCGGGGACGGGGACGCAGCGAGACACCTTCCGGAGAGCCGCTCTGCCCCCGCGCCCCCAGCCGCCACCGCCGAGCACGGGGGTCCCAGCCCCGACTGCAGCCCCGCTGCCCACGCCCGGCACCCAAGCGCCAAACCCTGGGTGATGCTCCCCGAATGCCCCCCTCCAATTCGCAGTGCAGAGCTTCTAGGGGAGCAGCTCGGGCTGCAGTTACGGTTTCGAGACCTCGACGGACTCCACCGTTTGCCCAAATTTTTCTGGTAGCCCTTCGGCCGCCCAGCATCCCACTTTACTGCATGCATTCCCGCCCCCCCCTCCAACCCCCTCTAATATTGTGCCGGCAGCTTGACTGGCCCCAACTCCCAGCAGTCCTGTGGGCATAACACGGGTTTTGGGGCACAAGCCAGATGTGGAGATACAACCCAGGACATCCACAACAAAGCCCCAACCTCGGCTCTCGTGCAGCACCAGGTTGGAGCACCAGCACTGGATGATGGAGCGGGGCTCTGGCAGCAGCAGATGCCTTTGCTGGGGGGAGAGCAGAGTGGGACCAGCACAGCCAAAACCCCACTTCCCAGCCCAGCACGAGGCACCCAGTAGCAACTACATCCCACCAGGAAGCATCCTGGCTGCTGCTGCTTCAGCATTTCTGGCAGCAGAAGAACAACAGCAAAGATCCCCCACCTTCCATTTTCCATGGGGTTAGGGGACAAGCGGGGTTAGGAGCTGCTGTCTGCCTCCAGTACTCAGACTCAGCTGGGCATGAATATTTCAGGGGGCTTGGCTGTTTTGTAATAACCAGCAATAAAGATAAACACCGGGAAGAGCAATATTTTACCATGTGGGCTGGAGGAGTTTAATATTTCATCACTTAGAGCACAAAATATTTATAAATAATCTCCTGTCAATCACTGGATGAAGACTAACCGAGACCTTTCCAAGCCAGAGAGGGTACATCTCCCCACGAGGGACAGCCAGACCCCCTGCCCCTTGCTGCTGGCCCCGCTGCTGGGCTGCACACTGGGAACAAGCCTTGGGCTGCCAGGGGCACCGGAGACACCGGGGCAGGGGGTCTGGCTGTCCCTCGTGCTCCAGCACCGAACATTACAGGGTGAGGTGGCAGTGGGGTCAGGAGAAGAGGCAGTGCCCCAGTCCTTCCTCCCACAGTGAATGCTTGGGGTGAAGCTGGCAGCAGCAGGGGACGGTCCCCACAGCTGCTGTGGTGGGGACTGTGGGTGATGAGTAGGGCTGCTAAGGTGTAGGATAGGTAGGGGCAGTCCCCTGCTCAGCAAGGACAGCAGGCTGGCGGTCAGGAAAGGCAGCAGGCAGCATGGAGGAAAAGCATCCACTTTATTACAGACCCTGGAAACGCCTGTGGCAGGTCCAGGACAGCTTGACACTGGATGTTTTCATTTGCAGCAAAGGGAAAGAGAAGAGGGGAACAAAACAAACCAACCCTACTCATGGCTCTTTGGTGCTAGAGAACACACGTCCGTGTTGGCAGAGAGATGCTGTGGGTGAAAGGGGCACCAGCAGAGAAGGGGAGACCCATACTTCCCCCTGGAAATGCACCCAGGGGGTGCATGTATGTCACTGCCTGCACCCAGCAGCCCCGTCTGCATTCCCCTTCCTGCGAGGGCAGCAG